ACAATGAGGTTAAGGATCTCAGTCGCTCATTATAGCTGCATAAACAATTTAGGTTTGTGTTGTGTAAAAGTCTTTTTTGTTTTTTATTTTCTATACACATGAAGGGGGTGGGATGTGATATTAAATAAAGCACAAATTATATTATGTAGGGTGTCTTGTACGTACTGGATTAGCTGGTTTTTCACTATAGTATCGCTCGACTACATAGGTGTTTATGTAGATGTAGTAGGGAACTCTGTGGTTAGTAAAACATCGTGGTTAAAGAACAAAAAAATTTATAAGAAAACCAAACGAATTTGAAATCCGAAGCCGGCCCTGGGCGTGAATTGGCAACGTATAGAGAAATTGAGATAACAATTAAGCAACTTTATCGAAAAATATAAACAGTAAATGTAACTAATAAAGTAAATATTATTAATACAGGTGATACATATTTAAAGTACACCTCACATATTGTTAAGAAACCACCATTAAGGCATTGCTAACGTTCTGCATTTGGCGTACTTCACTTGCAGCGATCATACACCGTCGTACAAATAATTAGCATTCTGCACTGGTCTTTGATACACGCACTGTCTCATACAACTGTATAAAAAGAAGTCAAACGGATTTAGATCAGGACTACGTGCCGGTCAGGGTACAGGACCACTCGTACGTCTAATCCAGCTCCGTTATTAAATAAATAACTGTCTATGGTGCGATTCGTTGCACTTGTTTATTTGAGTATGATATTTTTGGCTTTTCTTTAATGGAAAAGATAGTTTTTAATGGACAAACAAATAACATAATGATTCTAACATAAAAGGTTCCGAGGTGAAGAACTCTAAAAACAGATTCTTGACAGTCTGATTTTCTTTCCTTGTATTAGTTGCGTGGTGTCGAGCAAGAGTAACGGACGTGCTTCTATCGCGCTTGGTGACAAAGTAATACGTAATAAGTGAAAATAAACATTTGTGAGATAGTATAAAGGACCCACACAAGAAAAGTGAGTGGAAGTGATGGCAGGTTGCAAATATAGACTAAGAGGACTTTCAGGCGAAGACGTTGAAAGTGATTTAGATGAACCTGACGGCGAGAATAACATTAAGACACTCCTATCCGAAGGGCCCANTCTTTCCTTGTATTACCAAGTAAATTATTGAAAAACTAAACTGTATAATAATAATTTATATCTCTTTGTTACTTTTTCTTTTGATGAGCAGCGTGTTTTAATGCCATTTTCTTCTTTGTTTCAGGTCAGTCTTTACTGTAATTTTTGTGACCAATTTGGGTGAGTTTTTAGACAAATTCTCTCAAATTCTCTTGTCCATTTATAGCAGCGGGTAAATTTTTAAATTGGGTTTAATCATAATATTGATAAATTGTCTCTGACTGTGAAGTAACGAAATATTAGTAATTTTGTCACAGATATCATTTTATCAAATAGCCCAAGGGCTAGAGCGTAGGGTCTACCACACTAGAGTGTGCGGTTTCGAAACCTGTGGTCAGATTTCTTAGGTTTTTTTTGTATGATCTCCCAGATATTCTTTTATAATCAGCGATGAAGCATTTATAATTTTTTTTCCTAAATTACATTTTACATTTTAATGAAGAGAATTATATATTTACCTCAAAAAGCGCCGTCGACTGTATCGAATAGAAAATCGTGCATACGTACGTTTCGTCTCAGAAATTGAGGTCAATCGAAATCGAGAGCTCGTTTAAGGAAAAAAAAAAGAAACGACCAGGTTTCGAGGGGTGACGTGTATCTAATGTCTTTGTATACCCAGATATCTCTTTGCCCATCCGATTTGCCTTTCTCTTTCGCGCTTCTTTGAGACATTAACCGGGTTTTTGTCATCTTGACGAGCCCGGATCGATGTTGGTGCTTTGAAAGAGAAATCGTACCTATGCATGCGAACAACATTTAGGTTGTACCTACGGAATACGTGCATCGCAATCGTGATCCATTTTGTTAAAAGGCTGTAAAGAGAACGCTGCTATTTCTTAATGGAAATTGAACGGTAAATAAAGTACAACGTAGGTACGTAGCCGGGTTGACCTCTATTAAGAAAACCTCATACGAAAGCAACAAATGTCATCATTATAAATATATGTGCCAATACGCTAATGAGCCAATGTTCTAAGTATGTTTATAACAGAAATTAGTGCAACTATCTTCTCTGATAATACAATATTCTGGAGTTAACTAACTGTAAAAAACGAATCTGTGCACCATAACTTTCAGTATCTGGGATGGTGTTATTTAGTCGAAACTTTTAATTATAATGTTGTAACATACTAGTAATTTTATGTAGAAAATGTTCGTAATATTTTCATGTTTCTCTGATTGGCATATTTGGTTCAGATTAGACCCATATACACATATATTATGCTTTAAATTTTGTGACAAATGATTATCTGTTTAAAATTGAATTTTAATGTACGCTTTCTAACACTATGTCACATATGCTGAAGTGTACAGTCACACTATAATTGCCCTAATAAAAAGGTAAACAAACACGCCACGAAATGAAAAAAAAAATACTTTCACATGTGGATCTGGCCGTGAAATCTTATCGACGAGTAAATGAGGTCGCCGATTGAGGTCGCGAAACACTTTCTTTACTTGGTCGGTCGCGCCTCCACGTATAATCCTAAGTGTCACACAACTTTCGTAAATAACGCGTTTCCGTATTCATCAAGGGTGAATGAAGACAGTAACTACAACGTTTGTTCAAAAAGTATGGCGAATTTTGAATTTCCGCTGGTTACGTATATTCGATTTTCGATTTTTTTTCTGGCGTTATGTTGGTATATATGTCTCTCGCTTATACCAACAAGTTCAGCCAGGTGGAATGTTCAGTTAATTTTTGACAGCTTCCTTGCTTGCACATGTTTTGGCTCGTCTTCGATTTTTGCCTATTCCAAAAAATGGATCAAAGAATCTGTATCAAATTCATTCCGAATGTTGAATGTGACATATTGCGAAGCTACTTTGGACCAAAGCAACGTTTATTGGTTGTTACAAAATGTTATCAGAGGGCCCAGAAAATGTGAACGATGAAGAGCGTGCTGGACGCCCGAACTCGTCAACAACAGACGAAAACATTGATGAAGTAAAGAAAATAGCATTGGCCAATCGTCGAAACACCGTTAGAGAAGTTGCTGAGAACCTAAACATATCAATTCGCTCCTGCCAATCCATTTTTATCAATGTTATGGGCATGAAACGGGTCGCCGCGAAATTCGTACCAAAATTGCTCGGTTTCGACCAAAAATAGCATCGCATTAACATTGCTAAGGAGCTGTTGGACTCTGTCCGCTACGATCCAAATTTGCGCCAGAGGGTCATCACTGGCGACGAATCATGGATTTATAGTTATGATGTGGAAACCGAAGGTCAATCATCTCAATTGAAGCTGCTACACGAGTCAAGACCAAAAAAAGAGCGCTAAGTTACGTCGAATGTGAAGGTTTTGCTTACAGTTTTCTTCGATTACAGGGACGTGGTGCATCATGAGTTCTTGCCACAGGGTAGAACGGTCAATAAGGATTATTACCTGCAAGTTATGCGCAATTTGCGCAAAGCAATTCGCCAGAAACACCCGGATTTGTGGAAGAACAGAAATTGGCTTTTGGACCATGATAACGCCCCTGCTCATACATCGTTGTTTGTGCACGAATTTTTGGCCAAAAACAACACTAATAATGCTACAGTCACGGTATTCGCCAGATCTGTAACCCTTTGAGTTTTTCTTGTTTCCGAAACTGATAAGGTCCATGAAAGGAAGACGCTACGCTACAATTGTGAAGATAAAGACGTAACCAAAGGAAGAGCTAAACAAGATCACAAAAATAATTTGTTGAAGTACTTCGAGGATTGAAGAAAACGTTGGCACGAGTGTATAATATCTGGTGGGGATTATTTTGATGGGGACAAAATAGATATTCATGGAACAGTCCTCGTATAAAATTTATGCATGTGTGTAAGTGTTTAGGGACATTGCGGTAGAAGACTCAGTTTCTCTTTCTCAATCAACGTGCTTCCGTAATAATGCAACTACAGAACTTCTTACTGAAACTACAAGGCGTAGATCGTAGTTTCAGTCTTATTTGTTATCATCAGTATGAATTACTTCAGTAGGAGCAAATACTTACAAGGTGACGATACACCGACTGTACTTGGACATTGTACAAACCCGCTCTGAAGGAGATTCATTGGTTTGGTCAGTAATTTAGAAAAAAAGACTGATTGAGAAAAAGAAAATGGAAAAGTTACGGAAGATCTCGAGAAATTCAAAGAGTTACAGAGACAAGTAAATGTTATGTCAAAAGAGAAGAAAGAGAAATTGGAACCACGAACTTGACAACTTCCGGTGCATCTCGATCGCGTTATATTTTTTACACAATGTGTCTGTAACCTCATAAATTCCAGCAAGTATATTCTTTTTACATCGAGTTGTATGTAGATGATGGAAGTCAATAAAAAATATGCGAGATAGGTTGGTAAGGACACCTTCTCAGACATGAAGAGCTAGTTTAGAGACATATTGGAAGCAGAAACAGGAGCTAAGAGGAAGAGGGTTAGACCCAGATTAGATTACTGTTCACAAATAGTTATGGATTTGGGGAAATCCAAAGATTAGCTCATGATAGGAAAGGTGGAGGTGCATTTCCAAACAGTCTTAGGACTGATGACCTTATAATGGTGTTGATGATGTATGTAGATGTTATTAAGTATGCGGATGCGTTCCTCCACGAGACTGACGATGAGACTACACTATACATTACTTGGTTGGGCCGACTGACGCGCCTCCGTCTGTTGCTTCTTCTGACCCAGTTGTGTGGGTGGCACGACGGCGTAGCGTGCTCTGCCGTTCATCGTCTTTGTCGTCTCCACTTCTTTGCGCTCTCTTTGTCGTCGCGCGCTTCGGAAGTAGGTTAGTGTACACGACGCTCCGTATTATTAATATTAGTGTTATTGTTGTTGTTACGACTGATCATCGCAGTCGTTGGTCGTTTGTGTGCAGCAGCAGAAGCAAGCAGGTAGTGGTGGTCGAAAGGAGTTTTGGTGGGGCACCTGGAGCGGACAGAGAGAGAGACACAGGCCACAAACGATCATCGGGCTCAGTTGGTAGTTGGCCGGACCGAAAGGCGGAAGCCAGTGCTTGACTTGAGTCAATCCAAGTGAAATCGCAACTTGAAGCGACTGTTATGCTGTCGTCAACTACGTAGTCAGAGTGTAGATATGAGCCCCGCATCATCGGGTGCTCTGGAAGTCGAACGTTACATAGGCGCTTGTCTGATTTCGTCGCAGCGTCACCAGGGTGGAAACGGTCGCTCCACCAAGCGCTACGATTACTATGTTCAACCCCCTGGAGACGTGGTATTTAGGCAACAGCAAAAGTACAACAGCCACAGCACTAACAACGCCTTTCGGAGATGTCATTCAGTCGATGGCTGGGCAGGCGGCATTCCCCTCATCTCGTTCGCAAACCCCAACAATAACAGCAACCATCACCACCAGAGACGATCTGGAACAGTTGGCAGGAAGCAGGACGCACATCACGATGGTCTGACGCGCTTAGCGGTCCATACACAGGGCGCACCTCTGATCCTGTCGCATCAGAAGTATTCGGGTAATGGACGTAGAAGTAATACCAATAATAGTAGTAGTAATGTGAGAAAATCGAACCAAAGTGTGGATGCTGCGAGTGTGACTAGTGACGAGAGCACCGGAACCGGAAACTCCGAGACCACCGCGCTTCCCAGAATCATTAAACCGCGCAAGAGACGGAAAAAGGATCGCAAGCCGCTTCCTCATCTTCTTCAGACCTTTTCACGTCACGACGACGGTCTCTCTTCCTCAACGGACAGTGGCAGTCCGGATATTGCATCTCTTGTGGTCGACTTGATGGTGGCACCATACTTTCCTGTACATCATCCCAACAATCGCCACCATCAGCAGAGAACTTTGTTAAATTATTCCGATAATTTGACTAATGATTCGAATGTTACCGGGTGTACTAACGACATTTCTGAAACGCCAAAGTTGCACCACCGTTTCGAGGACGTGGAGGTTCCGAAAGATGAGGATCCGAAGGAGATGACGACATCCTGTCAGTGCACCTATTGTAACCCGGCCGATCAAATTTGGGATGTGTCGAAGAATAATGACTGTTACTCGCCTTTTCTGACAACGCCGACGTTTTGTTTCGATTCTTCGACCCGCCTCATCACGGATGCGATGTCGTCGGTCTCGCTGGACGACGAGGACGACGAGGTGGTGACTAGGAGGAAGAATGTCGAATCTTCGACGCGGAATTTCATTGAAATTTCGACGGAGATAGTGACATCGCCAAATGGACATCGGGATCTGGAAATTAAACTTTTCCCATCAAACGATAAGGGTGTTGGGGCTGGTGGTGGTGTTGTTCGCGAAGTGAACAATAACAATAGCACTGGCAAGTGTTTGAGCGAAGCGTGTTGTGACAAAACTGGTACTGTTATTGGGAATTATAAAGGCATTATGCATCACGAATACTGATCTCTTTCACCCAAAAAAGATTGCTACACACATGTCTACAAAAATTCTCATGATTCGTTTTGACAATTTCGACAAAGCTGTTAACTACCTACAACTTTTATTAGTGTGCAGCAATCCTTTTTGAGTTTGTTTTCATAATCTTATTTTGTTTCCGCGTGTATCATTATGAACTTTCACTTTTAATTCTCAATATTGCGATGTGTACAGGAAAAGTTTGACTGGTGCATGCGGAAACGTTTCCTTGTAATTATTTCTTCGATTAATCCGAAGTAACATGACTGACTGTGTGTGTGTGCTCTGTAGATACATTACTTTCGTGTTTTGTTTTGATTCTCATTTTTTCCTTTACTGTAATATACCTATCTACCAAAAGGTGCAAGCCGAAACAATAAGTCGTGATTCTGCTGTATTGTTTTGTTATGTTCTCGATCGACCGTTTGTACGTGCTCTATCGTACAAAAATGTTAACTTTTTGATTATTATGAAAATACATACTGCAACAATTTTTCTGCATTTTGTTGTTTTTTTTCTTTGAATTCGCTTTTTGTTGTTGCTATTATTACTATTACTATTGTTGTCGACATACACGAACCGCTGCGGTCAGCACGAAGAACTTTCTCCTTCGATAACCTTAGTGGCGTAACTGTTTATTGAGAGAAATACAATTTTGCTTTTCGTTGTATGGTTCATATTCGTACCTACTTTTAAAAGTGAATTCGAATTTGACGCCCATTAGCGAGGCAGTTTCTCGACTAATGATCAATTTGAATTTAATTTTAATTGATTAATTGCATAAGTTGCTACGGTTTTATGAAACATGTGCTTGACAAGTGTTTTTTTCTTTGACGTATACATAGATTACAGTTTGCTTTCTTGTTGATGAAATGTATTTGCTTCGATTCAATATTGTTTTAAATAGATGGTTGTAATTTGACAGCAAAGAGAATTGAACATTTAGGAAGCTATCCCCGTTTGTTAATATTGAAATTGTTCTAACCCAGTTGTTTTTTTTCAATAACCGATATCGCTGTTCATGCATATTTCACAAGTATTAATTGAAGATATAGAATTTTATAAAAAAATCTTAACTAGAATCGTACATGGAAAGATTGACAAAAGCGCGGAAGAACTACTAGGGGAAGACCAATTTGGGTTTAAAAGAAATAGAGGAACGCGGTAAGTCAGTTTAGCTTTACGGTAAATAATAGAAGAGAAAACAATAGAAAAAAGAAAGAGGACGTACATAGGATTCGTAGATGTCGAAAAAGCTTTTGGCAGACAGTTTTAGAACTTGAACAGTACCTAACGTAGAGAAGTAAACATTAGGAAGGGAGTCAAACAAGGATGCACACTGTCACCACTACTTTTTAATCCATATATCGAAAACGGTATAAACATTAAAGACAGGGCATCTTCAGGGATAAATATCAAAGGGCGTCAAGATTGCAGATGCTTCAGCAGTATTAGCATCTAGCAAAGAGTTAGAGATAGCCTTAAATAAAATGGTAACGGTACTGAGAAAACAGTAATACTGGTATGCAAGGGAAGAAAAATTAGCGAAAGAGCGAATATAAAGGTAGGAGACGAACGATTAGAAGAAGTGGCTAATTTTCTGTATCTAGAATATCAGTTAACTCAGGATAGAAGGAGCAACAGTGATATAAAATAAAAGATAGCGCAAAGTCGAATCATCTTTAATAAAAAGAAGTCATCTATGCTTGCGTACGGATAATTTACAATTGAAAAACTAGATCATTTCTATTATTGGTTTCAACAAGTCTCTTCTTGTTTCAACCGGCTTAAAATTTATGTAGAATAATAATATGTTAACGTAAATTCACCCGTATCATTGTATTTTCTAGGAAATGGGTTTGATTGGGTATGTAACCTTTACGTATATTATTTGAACCATGCACGCGATGTCGTGAAAGGTGACGATTTTAATGGGTAATATTCTCCTATTGCTTCATTGCAATATTGACTGTTTGATGTTCTTCTACAATATAATTACACTTGAGGGTTTTTGCAAAAAAAAAGTTATCTTAATCTTACATCTTATTTGTTCCAATTAGTGATGATCAAAGTTGGTCTTGGTATTGATTTTGCATTTTCGCATCTTCTCAGACATGAAGGCTGTGCATGAAGACCAAGACTAAAATCAAGACCGAAGAAACAAAACAAGGAATGGGGACAATCTTGGTTTTGCTTTGTTTATGACTAGTTCATATCGGATTTTATATGTTTACATATTGTATGATAATTCGTTACTGTTGGTATTAGGTACTTTACATACATATATTTACATAACACGCTTATGTATAAGTCAAAATGATATTCGGATGATGGTATTACGGTCAGTAATCATAAGAACCGTAATTTACTCGTTGTTTTTTATATTGAGGTTGTCCGATGTGTCTGTTGCTAATGTGAAATTAATTTAGCAAGGATTTGGGGCGCGCTGCCGTACAAACGCAACGTGTTTTAGCCTTTTTTCATTTGTTGCGAATCGATTGTGTACCACGTTTCTTCTTTTTTTTGTCGATGCATCAACAACAACCGTTGAAATCGTTGCATTTATACAGATGAAGTGCAGTTTTTGCAGAAGACGACGGACTTTTGTTAATACAATTTACAACGCTGTGCATTGTTTGAAAAAGCGTGTAGCTTGTATAATGACCAATTCACGAATTAATGTCATTACTGATTAATTAGCATGAAGCGTACAATGCCTTAAAATTTGTTCGGTTTTTATGCAGCTTTTGGAGCGTTTGGAGTACAATTTTGAAATGCAACGGAACATGCGCGCGCATAATTAACACAAAATCGACCATATAAAATTAGCAGCATGGCCGCGAGTCAAAGAGCACGCTGCTAAGGTTCACTGATTAAGGCGAGTATGAATCCCTGATACAGTGCACGGTTATAAATTTTTTTGGAAACGTTTTTTGTATGCATTATTTCGTCAGATTTTTTGGATATTTCAAGCCGGTTGTGCTTGGAAGCTAGGTATTAGGAGAAGCATTCGAAATGTGGTAGTACAGACGAATGATGAGGATACCGTGGATAGAGATGGTTAGAATTGAGATGGTATTAGAAAGAACAAGAGAACAAAGGGCGCATGGAAATCAGTAAGATATAGACGAGATATGACATCTTCTCAGACGTGAAGTTTTAATTAGAGACATATTGGAAGCAGAAGCAAGAGTTAAGAAGAGGAGTGGACCTAGATTAAATTACTGCTTACAAGTACTTAAGGATGCGGGTTGTTCTGGTTTTAAGGAAATGCGAAAATTGCCTCAGGATAAGAAAGAGTGGATTTCCGTGTCCAACCACTTTTAGAACTGATTACCATAAGATGACGATGACATACCTGATACTTGATCTTCTACCAAGAGTTGTAGAAAAAGAGAAAATACAAAAATAAAAATGGAGAAAGAGGTATTGAAGCACCATTTAGAGAGAGAACCAGTTCTGATTAATGAAGTGAAAAACTTTTTAAAACTTTTGGGTGTTTCATTCCCACCAGCCAGTAATGCTGGTGGGCGGGCAGTCCCTCCGGACTATGCCGGAAGGTAGGGCGGAAGGCCCTCTTCAGCCTCGTTTCAGGAATCGTGGGAATGGGTGGGTGGTGGTTCGGGTGAGAAAGATGAGACGGACGAAATGAAGACAGAAAAAAGTGAAAGATTATCTGTGGAATATTACTGCCCCAACATTTGCCTAAGTGATCCAAGGAAACCACAGAAAAACTTGCACCAAGGCAGACGGACCCGGAATCGAACCGGCGTCCTCCCGAATGCTAAGCAATGGTCTAGACCTCTAGGCCATGCAGCTTAATGAAGTGAAGAGAAGGAGGACAATGTTGACATTCGGGCTAGGGCATAGTTTCTGTTTTAAATTCATGATAATGAACTTAAAAAAATTAAGTAGTTAAGGGTGTGGATTGTTCTAGTTTCAAGGAAATGCGAAGATTAGCTCAGGATAAGAAGGAGGTGCGTGTCCAATCAGTCTTAGGACTGACGGCTTTATGATGATGATGAATGAACTACCATTTGTCAGCGCATCTCATATTTATTTTTACTGTATTTCCCTTGGGAATTTGCAATTTTATTGCGACGCCCCCCTCTTGCCAAAAGAGCGCGTACTAGTTGCAGTTCTAGCCTAGTAGCAAGTTATCAGAAAAACTCCAAACAACATTTATAATTTTTGTATGAAAATAAGAACAAAAACAAAGCATAAAAATAAAAACGAAAAGAGGTATTAATTTTACATTGTTGACTGGCAATTCTAATGAGAAAGATGTGCTTGCGTTTCTGAACATAGTTTCTCAGAACGGGGCTCAAGTTTGGAAATAGCAACTCTCGTCTCTTTCCATGACAACCTATGTGAATCGCCTCAGGAGAATTCTGGGATTAAGCCGCAACACCTCAGGGCATCGCGACGTACAATTAAGAAAATCCCAGTTCGTGAATTAATTAATTAGTAACTGCTAGGCGTAAATTGTCTCGTCAGTATTGCAATTTGTGTATCCAAAATCTAAATCTAAGACCTAAGTGTGTAGTTTTGTTCATCTTCTACGTATTTCCCATTTAGTTACTGTGCGTGAATGAAGATAATTGTGGTATAAACGGATCGCTTCTAAACCAGTGCAATCACTTTCGAATATGACCGCGTCAGACGGTGGTGCAATTGGAGTGTGTGTATGTATGTATGTGTACTTATCTACATAAAATATGCGTGTATGTGAATCGAAAGAATATTTATTAGCTTGCTCTCACTGTAATGTAATGTAATGCAATGTAATGGCGAACACGTGTATTTTACGGGCGCGTAATATGTTTATTTTTCGCGTCCGTGTTATGTTGTTAACTTGCTTGGATATAATATATAATAATTGTAATTTGCGAATGGTTGCGCTCGATCGATTTTCCAATTTTGAAATGGAATTGATTAATTGGAAAATTACGGAAAATTGTCGGCTTTTGCGCGTCGTCCAGGATGATTTATTTTTGAACGGCGTGATTTATTGGAACAAGGAAAATGGATTTGATGCACGTGAATCGCAGTTACGGTCATTTTTCATCAAATATTAATCAATGCAAAGATAATCACTTCCGTCAGCAATGTTCAAAATAAACAATTATATTAAAATTATCGAATTATTATTAGGTTGGTTATCCACGAAGTCGATCAATATGAGGTCGGGCGGTTGGAACTAGAGATGCACCGGATAGTAATCTGTCGGGCACCGGATAACTGTGAAGCCGGCATTAGCTGTGTCTGATATCTTGTCGGGTGCTCGGTAAAACTACAAGGTGTCCAAAAAAAAAAGACTTCTGGGTGTTTCATTCCAGCCATTAATGTTGGTGGGCGGACTGTCCTTCCGGCATAAGGTAGGGCGGAAGGCCCTCTTCAGCCTCCTTTCAGGAATCGTGGAAATGGGTGGGTGGTGGTTCGGGTGAGAAAGTTGAAACGGACGAAATGAAGACAGAAGAGAATGAAAGATTATATTTGGA